CAAATAGTGCTAAAAGGTTTGTTCACAGGAATAAGATGTCAGAATCTTTTGCAAAAATCTGCCCAGGGCCAATCCTGAACTCAAGTCGGTTTATATGCCTTAGCACTGCTGGAAAAACACCATCCACATAACATACATTGTTCCTGTGGGAAAATATATTTAGGTCCCAACTAAACATTTTATGAACACTTAGAATACAATTCTCAGTAGTTAGTTGGCTTCTATAGAATGGTTCAGTTGATTTCAAGATTAGAATAATGTTTCCGTAATTTTGCAAAATTGCCTAACTTTGTAACAACTACATAAGTGAATTGTGCCAAAGATTAATATAAGTGGTAGAATGAAGTACAGATTTTTCAGCCTGTCCAACCCCAGTCTGGCTACCATTAGGTAACATTGGCAGAGTTGCTGAAATAACTAATGATTTTGATACTGCCATCTGTTTTATATAAATGACAATTTTTCTCTGTTGCAGAGTACTAAAATATTTGTTCGCCAGCATCTCTTTCAGGGTCTGAACTAACAAAGGTGTTCCTAAGGGCCTGTGTGTACCTATCTAGGTGTGTAAGGAAGTATGGCCTAGCTCCTCCACCAAAGAACAGGTCATCTGCAGTAACTGCAGAATGTAGAGGAACTCTAAATCCTTGCTAAGAGACCATACATTTACAAGTATCAAGTCTGTCTTCACAGTTAATAATGCAAACCTATTAGAAATCTACAGACTGCCTATTTTTACTTTACTAGAAATTTAAAGAAACAAAAGACTTTATTGTGGAAAAAATACAAAAGTTAACATAGGAAAAAACAAAACAAAACAAAACAAAAAAACTACCCAGAATTTGGCCCTAACACAAAAGTATTAGTCAGAGAATATTTTGTAGTTGATATAACATATGTAGGTTTCAGAAGCTGTTAAATTGACAACTCCCTTCTTCATGCCTTTAGTTTGTTTATATTCCTTCTTCCTATCAGATTATAAATTCCTTAAAGCTATATCACATCTCATTCATTGCTTTCTCCACATTCTAAGGGAGTACCTAACATACAGCATACACTCAGTGTTTTTTTTTATTTGAACTGTAAGTATAAACTCAATTGAAATACATGAACCTCCACTCCCAATCCTAAAATAAGTGCATGTGCAAGTATACATTCACATGTAAAAGATACATACTATTTTAATTTCACCTCACTAAGATGGTAGTTGATTTATTTTTAAGAACTAGAAACAACACACTGTAATAGAAGGTCATGTATTTTGCCAAGGAACAGTAGCATTAACCTAATCACACAGTATCACCTTAAAGCTCAACAGAGTCAGTATGTTAAGAACTCATGTTGTGAGGCCTTACTACTCAAACTGAGGTCATTTTACAGAAAACATTAAAAGTATTTGAATTATTATGAGATTTCCAGAACTTCTAAAGATTTAAAAAAAAAATCACTATTAGTGATATCCAACATTATGTAATATATGTCTATAAAGTACCAAGAGTTGTGCTGAACACTTTGCTACAATATATCATTTAACCTCAATAATGATAGTAGGTAGGTACAATAATCCCATTAGATTAATAGATATTTTTAAACTATTAGTTAAAAAATGTTGCCCTTAGAAATTATCTGGATCAATGTTCTCATTTTACATTAAAAGTAGAAACCAGGGCCCTCCCTGGTGGCGCAGCGGGTTAAAGCACAGCACTGAGAAGCTAAAGCCACTTCTGCATGAGTTCGATTCCCGTCTGCCCTGGAGGTGACCACATGGCGCGGCAGACCTCTCCTGACCTGCCCACTGCTCCCCTCAGCAGTGTACTTTGTCAATCTGCCTGTTCTGTTCCCCACTCTGTCTCTGGTGAAACCTCTTGCCACCCCTGAGCCTCTGGCCTGTACCCCAGTTCTGTATGCACAAATAAATAAATCTTAAAAAAAAAAAAAAAAAAAAAGTAGAAACCATGAGAGATAGATTTTTTTTTTTTATGTAGGCAATGGCTGATCCAGAATAAAAGAGCACATGGAAAATGTACAAAAAATAGGTAAGGCTTAGCAAAAGGTCTAATTTGTCTAATAAATCAAAGAAATGGTCAGAATTCACATTATTACACTATTTCAATGAGATATCTGTACTCCCATGTTCAATACCACATTATTCATAAAAGCCAGGACATGGAAACAACCTAAGTAAACAATGATTTTAAACAAAAGGATGTATAATGAAATCAAGTCTGTAAAGAACATTGTTTTGTTCACTTTTGGCTGGTTTCCAACCTCCCCATCCCCCCGGTCAATATTATATAACAAAACACATGAACATGCAAGAACATTATTTAACCAAGAGAAAGACTATCATTTCCAACAGCATGAATGAAGCTTGAGGCCATTCTGCTAAGTGAAGCAGGTCAGAAAAACAATGTACTATCTCAATGACGCTCACAGAAACAGAGGGTGTCATGGTGGTCTCCAAGGGCTAATGAAAAGGGGGGGGGGCATTTGTCTAAAGGTACAAAGTTCCAGTTAGAAGATAAAAAAGTTCCAAGGATCTAAGCTAGACCATGGTGACTCTAGTTGACAGCACTGAATTACATATTGAAAGTTTCCCTGAGAGTGGAACTCTTATTTTCTTAACATAATAACAACAACAAAATATATTAGGGAAAAGATGTGTTAACTAACCTTACTGTGATAGACATTTCACACTATATATGGGTATCAAGTTATCACATTGTATACTTTAATGTGACATATAAAATATTTGTCAAAAATGCTGTAAAAGATAATTCAGATTATTAGATAATTGTCAGATACTAGGCCAGAGAGGTTTCGGCTAAGTGGTTGAGAAAAGTGAATGTTTGCATTTTTTCCTTATGAAACTGGGGAGCTAACAAGTAATAGTAATGATAATTTTTATAGCAGTAGCTATCATTTATTGAATCCTTGAGAATTAATGCAAATTTTATGCTTCAAACTTTATAGGATTCAAATGTGTTCTAGTGTATGGAAACCAGCATGCTGCTCATAGCTTCTGTGTTAGAATGTCTGCTGCAAAGACATTGTAGCAGTCACGTGAGTGTATCTTCTTCTAATAAAACAAATCAAGAATAGATGGGGAAAAAGAGATAGTAAAGTACACTGCTTTCAAACATGGGAGGGAAGTGAGCACCTCTTCTGAACTGCAGAGATCACATTTTATCTGACTCATATATTCCCTTCGAGGTCCTGAAGACAACCTCATAATCAGTTAACCAAAATGGAATTCATCTATCATCTTGCTAATACATTTTCTCATCTCTCAAATAGCCACAATATTAAAACCTTGAAAAAACCCCAAAACTTCAGAATTAATTACCTAAACTTTGTCACCATCATTTTTACTTTTTATTTTAACCCAACTGCAAGTCCTAGTAAGCAAAAGGAGACTTTTAATCAAACTTAACTCTTCTGCTGATATAAGAAAGAATCCAGGTTTTGAAATCAATTGACCTGTTTCACTATCACTTGTGTAGTCTAAAACAAGTCACTATTTAAAATTTAACATCTCCAAACAAACTCTCCTACATGAAGCAAGGTGTTTTCTTGTTTGTTCTACTGTGAAACACCCATAGTAAAAAGTGTAAGGAAATGATCAAAGGTGTTTGCCTCAATGAAATAAAAATTTCCTGATCTGACATTCCATCAAATGGACTTTTCCAATTCAAAGCAAAGAGATACCTAATGTACCACCTACGATACATTCTTAATTGAGAAAGAATGTTCACATGGCTTTCAATAATGAAAAGTGAAAGGAGAGAACTGTTGAGATCCACCCACAAACATAAAAATGGAGGACTTCCTTTTTAACATCTCAGCAGAATTAAACATAACAATGAGGGGACAAAGATACAAAAGAATAGACACTGTACACTCCATTTCTATGAAATCCAGTAACAGGGAAAAAGTAGATTATGATTTAGTGAGGAAGAATGGTGGTTACTTGCAGGTGGTGAGCAGGACACTGTCTGGGAAGTGGGCAGAGGGAGATTCTTGGATGTTAAAAAAGGTCTGTATCTTGAATTAGTATCTTCATGAGTGTATAGATATGTAAAAGTTCCTTGGGCTGAGCACTAAGACTTGGGTACTTTACATGAAGTAATTCCTTAAAACAAATAAATGGAAGGGGGAAGGGGTGTTGAAATCAGAATAGGGACCAAAAAAAAAAAAAAATTCTGAGTCAGAAACCAGAAACTAACTTTCCTGTTTTTACTTTTTGCCACCTATGATCTACTTCTTTATGGTGAAAAGTAACAAATGTGTTGTAAGTTCAGTAATTTTTTTTTTTTAAGTAGTAGCAGAGGAGATTAGGGTGGACAGTCATGTTCTTTTCTGCATCTAAGTCTGAGGGTACCAGAAGTGGAAGAGAGGACAGCTGCTGCCAGGTGCCTCACGCAAAGGCAGGAGAAACTGAAGAGACAACTTTAGGCTTGAAGAAATCCCAGAGGTCTGCCTCTTCTACTGGTGTTAGTTAAGAATTTATCTGCATACCATAATAAAACCCCTCATGTCTTGTACGTTCTTAGTAAACTTTATCTCCTTGTTTACTAAAAATATACTCACTCTTTCAACAGAACGTTTAGAAATTATTTCCTCCAAAATCAGTATGATTACAAAGTCTAGCTTGAGACACAAGAACTACAAACTCTACAGGAACCACCATTAGCAGCTCTGGGCAATACCAAAGAAAATCCTGTGTGTTTTAGGATGCCAAGCAGTACGCACGCCTTTTCATTGCTTTCATTAGCTGTTTAGAACCGTGCGCTGTGCTTCTCTGACACATTTATGGAAGATGTTTGTAAGAGTCACAAAGAAGGGGGTAGGTGAAACCAATGAGCAAACAACCCTAGAGTAACCAAGCCTTTCCAATCCCACCATTCAACAAAAGAAAAAAAGTGATGGAATGGCCTAAGACAAAGAAAGTATAATGAACAAGGCCCTAAACAAACCCTTGAAGTGGACGGTTTCATTCTCACCTTTATCGCGATCGTAGAGTAAATCTTCTGTTGAGCAGGGGCTGCCATCATGGGATTCCGGGGGGCAAAACGGGGAAACGCAGGGTGAGTGACTGCTGCAGCTACTGCTGCGCTCCTGGACAGAGGGCGTCTGCGTGTCGATGCTGCGTGTGCTGCTGCTGCGGTAATGTGCAGGCAGGGGGGCTCTCCGGCCATCCGGAATATCCAAAGGCTGCAAGAGGACCCTCAGTCAGTACGCACACTTGGCCCACATGGAAAGCCCATGGCATTTCCCTTGATTTCATATTTTACTACTATTTCAACCGTAACTGAATTTGTAGAAAATGCTGGTATCAATCTTGCACCTTTCTACACATTCCCTTTACAAAGGCAAAGTTGGTTTCAAACTCCACATCAGTTTGGTTTCAAAAATATTATGGCTAAATTGTCTTAAAGATTCCCTAGCTCTCTGCATTTACTGGTAGGTTAGCACTGGCCAGTGCTTGTTTTAAAACTATTCCTACTGCCCAACACTGTGTCTGGCACCTACCAGACGTTCAATAAACAACATTTGCGAATGAAACGGTCACAGCACTGGAGGAATCACTTGGACTTGCTACTAAGAAAGGGGAAATCTCATATTCACAGGTATAGACTGCTATTCCTTTCCACTTTGATTTTCTAGAGGATAAGAACAGTCATCTTTTCTGTTTGCTTTGTAAATAACCCAACATTTCAATGAAGAGGTTCACTGTATTAGCACTCAATGGAGCTTATTAACAACTCAAAATTCTACTAATTTGGAATCTGAGTAGGACTATTCATAATTTTGCTTACTTCTAATGTGAATGTTTTGAGTGGCAAAATAAGAAATAAAAATGAAACTGTAGTATGGCAGCAAAGCGCCCCTCATACTGGATCCTTTCTCTCTTTTCTGCTATAAAGATAGACTTTTCTCTTTAGTTTCTTCATTTGTGTGCTAACAAAGTAAAATCAACAAAATAAAATCCTGTACATTAAATTCTTAAGTCATCTAATACAGTCTTTGTTTTTATGTAGATAATATTGCAAAATGCTGAGGGGAAGAACTAGTATGTTTTTTGTTTACAACTTATTTCACTCTTCACTGTTCTTACTATGAGTTTTGTTATTTCAAGAGTTTTTTTAAAAATGTAGGAGGAAAAATAATGTAAGATAAAATTAGGCAAAATTTAAAATGTATCAACTTTCTCTGTAACACACAAGAGAAGGTTGAAGTCTGTAACAGTAAAATTAAAAACTTGTAATGTTGTTAAACCAAAACTAAGCAATCTTCACAACCTGACAATTACCACTCCATTGTAAAGAGAATATTCAACTATTTGAGTATTAGTAAATTTTATAGAGAGACAAATTTAAAAAAGTAAGACATCAATTAGGAAAGAAATACTGTTTCTATATATACTCCCAAAGGAGTATAACTTGATCAAACACTAAGGAGTATAACTTGATCAAACACTAAGAAATGCTATTTTACTTTCACTTAAGTCAATGTATATTTAATTACAACTCTGCATTAATGCTCAGAATGAACAAAGAAGAAAATCACTAGCATAGGTTTGTGGTTTTATTCTGGACAAAATTATATGACGGTATGAGATAGAGGCTCATAGGGGAACCCTTAAAGAACAATCATCCTGGAAAATTATTTGAGGGCTTCATAACAGAAGTATTATTTAAAAGACTGATATTCAAGTCAGGGAAAATAGTTCTGTAAAGTGTCAATGTTGACAATCAGTAAAAGCATTATCAGTTTGTTGCTATAAAGGAGTTTGTGAGTTTGAACTATTCTTGTCCTACTTGATAAAAACATTTTCTCTCTTTTTTCCATTTCTTAATCTATAAATGGAAAAATATATTTTTATTCCTCCATTTTTTAACCAACAACTTCTTCTGTTGGGGAGGGGTTAGAAAAATTATAATAACATTATATTTGCACAAAACAACAATGGAGAACATAAAGGCTTGGAGCATGGATATATTTATTTGATGGGACAATTTTTTAAGCTACTGGCAGATTCATAATGATGACATTTTGATTTATAAAAAAATTTAAATGTATTTAATCATAATTCTAAAAATTATCATTTTGTTGGAAGGTTGTATGGTACCTTAGAAAAATTTTAAAAAGGCTACTATGAACTTAGAATATGACATTCAAAAGTAGAACTATGTTAGTTTTATATTCTATATATAGTTTTGCTTTGCATGTCACTAGCAAATAAATGACTGATTATCTTACCCTCAAAAAGCTAGAACAATTTCACTTCCTTACACTACTATTCTTAAATATGTTTAAAGGAAATACGTAAAGGGAAATATTTTAATGTAAACAGCTAAGTGCTGGTGTAATTTACAAAGGGTTTATGACATAATAGATGTAAAATAATTATTTAACATGAAATATTTAGGGAGAGTAAAGCGGCACAACCTTTTGGGCATGATTAATTAGCAATATTCATTAAAAATTTAAATTATATATCTGACCAGCAATTTCACTACCAGGAAATTTGTCTGCAAGAGTACATGTTTTTTTAAAGCACTGATTATGATTAACAAAAATTGAAATATCCATCAACAGAGGACTGGCAAATGATGGTGCAATCATAACAATGCTTCACTACACACTAGTATACACTAGGAAGGATGTTTAAGAACTGAAAAATGCTCACATCTGCAAAGCAATTTGGAAGTAAGTTGTAATTTTTTATTTTACAAATACAGAATTGAACTATTGGATTTGGAGATGTAATTCAAAAAACTGTATTATTTGAAGAACTCAGATATTTTAAATATTTTAGTTCTGAAAAGATAAGAGATAAGTAAGCCAAAGTCCACTTTCTTTTGTTGAGTATACCTTAAAATGTGGTTTACCCAAAAGACACAAAAACACTGATTTCAAAAAGATACCTGCACCCCCATGTTTATTGCTATTTTATTTACAATTGGTAAGGCATGGAAACAGCCCGAATGCCCAGAAGTAGATGACTGGATTTAAAAGATGTGGTACATATACACAATGGAATATTATTGAGCAACCAAAAAAATAAACACACACCTTTTGCAGCAACATGGATGGAACAGGAAAAGATCAGGCTTAGTGAAATAAGCCAGAAAGAAAAGGAAAAAAACTAGATGGTTTCATTCATAGCAGGAGTATAACGGATTAGGTGAGAAAATGAGAATAATAATGAACAGCTATAAACCAGAGACATTTTATGGGGGTGGAGTGGGGAGTGGGATCAAAAACAGTGGGGGGAGGGAAATGCACTGGACTATGGTGATGGTACATGGGTTATTTGGTGATGGGACGCCCACAGGGATAACAAATGAGATTGAAAAAATGCACAAAATGATGTAAAATAAACTATTATATTATTTTTAAAAAATGTGGTCAAACATAGGTTTGTCCTATCTGCAGTAGTGTCCAGATTTCTTTTCTGGGATGAAGTAATTTACAAAATATTTCTGATTAATTTAAAATAATTAATTTTGATTAAATATGAGGATGCTAAAACTATGAAGCTCTTACAAGAAAACACAAGAATAAATTGTTGATTTTGGATTAGGCAATGGTATGTATATCAGCAAACCTTATTATACACACATACACACATACATACATGCACACACACTTTTTTTTTTATTGTGGTTACACTGACTTACAACACTGTATATGATTTAGAGATACAGGATCACACACTCTGGATGTATGTCACACACCACACCATCATCAAGGCACCAGCAGTCCTCCACCCAACAGCTTCCACCATGAACCCTTTTTCTTTACTTTACTCCCCAAGTCCTACTCCCACTGGCAACTGAGACCATGGTTTCTCAGATAAAATATTCTGAAATTACAAATACAAAAAATAAAACAAATTGAGCTTCATAAAAATGAAAAATGTTTTAAAGGACATCAGGAAAGTAAAAAGATAACCCAAAGAATGGGAGATATTTTCAATTATATATCTGACAAGAAGATTTTATTGAGAAAATAAAGAACTTTATAAAGAATTTTTAGAGTTCAATAATAAAAAAGAAAGTTTTTAAAATGGGGCAAAGGCAATTCTCCAAAGAAAATACATAAATGACCAACAGCACATAAGGAAATACAAATTAATACCATAATGAGACACCACTTCCCACCCACTGAATGGCCACAGTCAAAAAGACAGATAACTACAAGTGTTGACAAAGATGTACAGAAAGCAAAATCTTCATACATTTGATGGGAATATAAAATGGCAGTGTAGCCACTTTGTAAAACCAATCTGGCTGTTTCTCAAAGGATAAATAGCTATCATGGCAGTAATTCTTACATAAACAAAAGAAATGAAAACATTATATTCATCTGAAAACTTGCATACAACTTTCATAGCAGCATTATTGATAACAGCCCCAAAGTAGAAAGAATCCAAATGTCATCAGTTGATGACATTTCATACAATTGAGTATTATTTGGCAATAAAAATTAATGAAAAACTAATATATGTTTACAGGTGCATCTTAAAAATCATTATGCTAACTGAAAAAAAAAGCAGTTACAAATGCCACACATTGCATGATTACATTAATTTTCTTTAATTTTTAAAATTATTTTTTAAATAAATTTTTTACTGATTTACCACTGGTACACATGCATGATTACATTTATATGAACTATCAGTAACAGACAAATCCATAGACAAAGTAAGTATATAAGTGGAGGCATTGGAGGAAAATGAGAGTTAACTGCTAAAAAGTAATGGAGTTTCCTCTTGAGATGATAAAAATGCTGTAAAAGCTATTGCAATGATGCTTGCACAACTCTGGGCATGTGGTTAATAAAACCACTGATTTGTACTTTTTTAAATGGACAAATTGTATGATAAGTGAATTATATTCAATTAAGCTGTTATAAGAAAAGTACATTTGAGATAGCTGTTCACAACATTAAAGAACATGATTCAAGCATCCCATGTAAACTTACCTTGGACACTTCCTCCTTCCCATTATTTTCTCTAATGAATACCTTTTCTAGCTCAGGACTTATTCCTTCTACATTGCAGGGCACACGTGAAACAGATGATTTTGGCACTGATATATTTGACAGTGGCATAGGGACTGATCTTGATCCAGTTGCCTAGAACACAGAAGAAAAAGTAGTACCAAACTGGTCAAAGAAATCAAGAACTAGAGTATCGTAAACGTTCTAATCAAAATTCACTGAGCAGAGTTACTCTGATATTTTCAATTACAATATATATTCAAATACACAAAGAAACATAGTTTCCAAGAGATAGCAAGTAGACTCAAAATAGTACTTTATGTAAAAATATAACTACAAAATGTGCACACTTTTTTAACAGAATGGCGGACAAAATCGTCCACATAGCTGAAATTTCCCCTTTTTTGTTTTTACCGAAAAAGCATAGCTGAAATCAGGTAAATTAAGTGTACCATGTGACTCTAGTTCTCTGTGTGATTATGTGCATAAAGATTGGTTTCCTGCACTTTGTCAATTGTCTTCTATTAGTTTTCATTTTCAATTTTGTCAAGTATTTAAGGAAGTCTACTGAATTACTAAGTAATGTGACGAAACTACAATATTAAGTTCAACAACTTTTATTTAACAACCTTAAGGGTGTAGTCAAAGTCCTTTGGAATTTTTAAAAATTAACCACCTGCCATAGCTGTCCAGAGGAGTGACAAAAAGATAAGCCCTTTGATGCTAAAGGAACTTAAACAACAGAGAGCGGTTAAAAATAAAGACTAATGAGATAAAAATAAAAATAATATATGATCTATTGTATTCTGAATGACTGAAGTAGGCATATATGATTCATAAAGAGCTGAACTGCCAATCACTGATTTAACACATGAATAATAGTGCCAAATATTCAGTGCTATTTTCAGTAATATTTTGCTCCTGTCATCTGCAAACTGTTGCCTGCTAATGTGCTTTGTCTCTGACTGATGTGCAAGCTTTTTTTCATTTTAAAGTTATAACTCTGCCATATATTTGGTGTTTACTTTAGCAGCAAATATTTTTTTCAATACCTTTACATTTTTTATATTTAAAGTTAACCTATCATAATTTATTTTTATGTACAATGTGAGGTAGTATTTTTCCCCAAAGAACAATCAAACTGTCCTGACATTTCTTTATGACTTCTATATTTAATTTCTTTGAGCTGTTATCTGAGAATCCCTATACAGAAAGATACTTTGTTATAATTTTCTAGAACATTTTGGTCCCTTGTGGGAAAAACCTTCCAAGTTTTCCATTAATTGGTATAGTTTTTCTGTACAACCTTTGAAAACAACTTTCCAAGTAACAAAACAATTCCCTTTAAATATGTATATTAATTTTAGTACCCAACTATTTGAAAAAATATTACTTTTTTATAAATTACAAAGATGTTAAGACATTCTACTTATGCATGTATTTTATATTTCATATCCTCAATAATATCTTAAGTTTACATATTTCATTTAATTCTGGGTACTTTTTTCATCATATGTTCTGACATGTTATTGCTACTTGTAACATAATACATGTTTTTGGTCTCTACCCCGACTTCTTGTAATTCTTGTAATTTCTTGAGTTATGGGGTACTGAGAGTGTCTTTTATTCTAATATTGGGTTTTTGACCCAAATTCTGATACAGAGCCCCTAAATCTCAGTCATTTCTTGTGATAAGTCTGAAAGTCTGTTGTAATGAGGAAACTGTAGCTTCCTTCAGAATGGCACTAATTACCAAAAAGACCAAGTTATGATTAGAAGTTTGGAACTTTCATGCCTAGCCCCCATCCTCTGCAGAGGGGAGAAGGGCTGGAGACTGAGTTAATGATAACCAGTCATGCCTATGTGATGAAACCTCCATAAAATCTCTGACTTATGAGTTCAGAGAGCTTTCAGGTTATTGAGCACAGCCCAGTTGACACACTCCAACTCTTGTCCTGCTATACTTCATCTTATGTATCTCTTCATCTGACTTTTCATCTGTAGCCTTCATAGGCATCTGGAAATCTTATTTTCTTGAGTTCTGTGAGACATTACAGCAAATTACTGAACCTAAAGAAGGGGCTGTAGGAATTCCTTCTTTACATTAGTGACAAGTCTGGATAATAATGTCAGAACTATAATTAATGTTGGGAGGGGAACAGGAAAGTTTTATGAGACTGAGCTGTTAATCTGTGGAGTCTGTGCTAATTCTAGTAGTCTTATAATGGAATAGTAGGATACCCTGTGTTTGGAGAGTTGAGGGGTTGTTTGGTGTGGGAAAATCCTATGCACGTATGGTATCAGAAGCATTGAGAGGAAATGGTAGTTTACTAGAATTAAGAGAAAACTATTGGTTTTTATAAATTCATATTTTATTATCTCATTAAGTTCTTGGCTTTCTTTTTATTATGAAAAATTCAAATGATAAACATAAGTAAACAATAGCATAATGAGTCCTCTGGAATGCATCTTCCATGCTCAAAAAGATCATTCTTGTTGCATCAAAAATCATTGTTCTTTGAGTATTTTAAAGCACATTCTAAACTGATTTCACCTATGAATATTTTGGTGTTATAGCAAAGCATAATTATTTTCACACAATATGAACAATTCAAAGTAATCTGGAACAAGTGTAGAAGACTTTTTTGTTAAGTCAAGACATCAACAGATCTATCAATACTATAAGTGCACTGGGTTCTTACAGAAGAAGAACTGAAATAAACAGAGTAAGAATAGTATATTAATTCAATTTGATTAAATGGAAAAAGCAAGGCATATATAAAATTTTTCTTGAGAGGTCTGAGGTTTGCCAATTTCATGCTTATTTTACAGCTTTGATGAAGCATAAGTGGCATAAAATAAAGCCTTCCCATTTTAACTATGCAATTCATTGAGCTTTGTAAATGTATGGTCACATAACTATCAATATAATAGCACCCAACTATTAATATAATCACAAGTTTCCTTTTGTCATCTTCTGAAATGCCCTAAAGTCTTTGTACAATCTCTACTACCCCTAACACTTTTTCGTCTTCCTTGTCAAGATTTAGTGTAACAAATCATATAGTATGTCACCATTGGTTTTGGAGGTCTTTCACTTAACATGATGTTTCTGAGATTCAACCATGTTGCGGTAAGTATCACTAGTTTCCTCCTCTTAACTACTAACTAGTGTTACATTGTATGAGTGTGGATATAAATATCCATTCACTAGTTGATGTGTTATTTCCATCATTTGACTACTATGAAAAATGCCTCTACAAAAACACTGATGAATAAGTTTTTGTGTCGACATGTTTTATTTATTTATTTAAAGATTTATTTATTTGTGCATATAAAAACAGAGCGGGAGCCTAACAGGCAGATCATCAAAATACACTGCTGAGGGGAGCAGCTGGTGGGTTAGGAGAAGTTTGCTGCAAAATGTGGATCACCTCCTGGGCAGGTGGGGATCAAACTAATGTGGAAGTGACTTTAGCTTCTTTAGTGCTGTGCTTTAACAAGCTGCGCTACCAGGAAGGGCCCGACACGTTTTATTTTTTTATGAATAAATTGAAAGAATATCTATAGATTTCTCAGATCTGTAAATCTGAGAACTTCAGGCTTAATGGCCAATGTATGTTCAACTTTTAAATAAAATACTAAATGGTTTTCCAAGGTGATTGGATATCCTGTGTGCCTACCAGCAAAAAGTAGTAGTTATTCTAGTTCTATGTTCTTATTAACACTGTCTTTCCTTTAGGTAGTCGTTTCAGTTATGTACTCAGATTTTCTAAATGTGCAATAATATGAGATGTAAATAGTGGTAACTCTTACTGCTCTGTTTGGAGCCTCTAAATAACTGACAAAGTAACAACCATAATTATAGACATCTATGACTTCATTTTAATTTTAACAGAGATGCTTCTAATTTTGTTGTTGTTGTTGTTGTTAGGATCTCATATTTACAGGAAGTCACATTGGGAAGTATCTTATTTTAAAATTGTATAATATATATGACACTGATATTTATCAAATGTTAAGTGGCATCTACATGAACCTTCACGTCAACAAATAAACCATTCCTATATTTGTGAAACAACCCTCCTTGAAATTGTTTAACACATTACTGGGTTTTCTTCTGTTACATTAACGTCTTCTCTACTAAGACATACATTAACACTTGTCCACAGTTGCTTAAAAAGCAAGTAAGACAGAATTTTAGCCTACACCAGCATCATCCTTGAAATGGCAACACTTGATTGGGTCTGTTATTCAAAAATTATATAAGGTCAACCCCCCAAAAAACTTTATTTAATGAATAGTAATAATTTGATGAAACTGAAGATTTAATTTTTAAAAATATTCTGACTTTCCCTGGTGGCAAAATGGGTTAAAGCACAGCACTATGAAGCTACTGCAGCCACTGAAGCAAAAGTTCCTTCCCCAGCTCCAGAGGCGACCTACATAGTTTGACAGAGCTCTCCTGACCCGCCCACTGCTCCCCTCAGCAGTGTATTTCAGTCAGTCTGCCTGTTCTGCTCCTCACTTAGTCTCTGCTGAATCCTTTCACCCTCTACCCCTAGTACCTCTGGCCATAGTATCCCATTTCTGCATGCATGCATAAATAAATCTTTTCTATTTTTTTTTAAATATAATCGTATTTTTACATCATTCTGTGCATTTTTTCATCCCATTTGTTATCCCCGTGGGCTTTCCATCACCAAATCACCCTTGTGCCATCACCATAGTCCAGTGCATTTCCCTCCCCCCACTGTTTTTGATCCCATTCCCCACTCCATCCCCATAAAATGTCTCTGGTATATAGCTGTTCATTAGCATAAATAAATCTTTTAAAAAATATTCTACACTGGTGGACTGTCCCTTTATAACGAAACTTTTAAAAGCTATTACTCAAATCTGAACAAGAAGTCAGCCTACCTGAGTGTGATTGATTGCAATATGGTTGCCATGGAGAGGGGACTGACGATCTTTCTCCTTGCTGTGCCGACTACTCTGTTTGCTCCTCTGTAGCTGCTGCCTCAGTTTGGCAATCTGCTTTGGGGTGAAAGGGGAAGCAAGAGGAGTGTAAAAGTAAATATCAAATTTTAAGTATTTAATTCTTTAATTTTTGGATGTTAACAAAAATTTTTTTCTTAAAGTTTCAAGAAACAATAGTAAGTTAGACTATAATGACTTATTTCAAGATTTTACAATTAAAATGACTGAAAAGAAGAAATAAATGCTATAAGTGCATCATTTGTACAATTTAAATATTGTTTTTGACAGAGTAAATTGCCCCAATTATTTCAGAATTTACTTTTGTAAATATTTTTCACTCTTAAATGCTCCTCTTTGTAAGGTGAAAAACTAGTCTATTGATTAAAGTCAAACCCAGTCTCTTACTATGGAGACTGCATTAGTTTCTAGGTTCTCATCTTCTAAGCCCCACAACAGGAAATCAAAGCAGTTAGTATTAGTAACTTATTTGTACTAACATTACTTTTTAGTCACAGACTTATTTTATATTCCATATTTATTGAGATATGATTGACATAACATAACATGGTATGTGCTTAAGATGCTAGCATGTTAATTTGATAGGTTTATGTTTCAAATCTTTACTATCATAGCATTAGCTGAAGTCTCTATCAAGTCACTTAAATTACCATTTCTTTTTTGTGGAGAGGACATTTATCTATTCTTAGCAACTTTCAAGTATATAACATATCATTACCTATAATCATAATGCTTTAATTAGATCCCCAGAAAATACTCATCTTATAATTGAATTCTGTACACTCTGACCAATCCCTATTTCCTCTACCATCCAGTCCCTAGTAACTACCACTTTTTGAGTCTGAGATTTTTAAATTCTAAATATAAGTGATATTATGCAGTATTTGTCTTTTCTCCTCTAGCCTATCTAACTCAGTATAAAGCCCTATGGCTCATCTATGTTATCAACAAATGACAGGATTTCAAACTTCCTTTTTTGTGGTGAAATAATACTCCACTGTATATGCACACACCACACATCTTCTGTATCCACACCTCCACTGGCAGCCATTTGGTTATAGCCACACAGCTTTTAAAAACAAATATGAACAAATATAACTTTAAAAGAAAAGTGTAATTTCTAGGATTTAGAGACAATTCATTACTGTAATACAGCTGAAACTTATAAGCTACTAATATATTTTAGACAATACATATTATCTGTATATAAAGTAAAGTACGCGAAAATACGCTAGAAGTATGCTAGACCAGGAGTAAAATATTCTTGAACATTTTAAAGGGAATCACTTGCAATTTGAGTGAGGGCATTTAATATTGTAAAAAAAAGTCCTAAAAAGTATGACATTATCAATCAATTAAGTTATTCCTTGAGCACTTACAGTGAATCCAGTTTTACGTTACCACTAGGCAAACTGGAAATAAAAAAATTTGTAAAGTGTATCACTTTCTCAAAGAGATAAAGGGGCAAACAGAAGAGAAACAATACAGAAGGAAAGAAAACACAAAAATAACACAATAATTTACATCTTTTCATTTACTTCAAAGTCCTCACTTTAAGCTTTTTAAAAGTTCTTTATATTGGACTTTCCCCAGTAGCGCAATGGGTTATAGTACTGCATTATGAAGCTCTGCGAAGCCATGGCAGCACGAGTTCAATCCCCTACCAGGGAGCTGAACCACATGGGTGGCAGACCTCTCCTGACAGGCCAGCTGCTCCCCTCAGCAGTGTATTTTGTCAATCAGCCTGTTCTGCTGGTGAATCCTCTCACTCACCTCACCTCTGGCCTATACCTCAGTTCTGTAAGCATAAATAAATAAATCTTTAAAAAAAAAAGTTCTTTGTATTTATGGATCTCTCACAATATTCTTGTATTAAATACAAATAAAATTGTCTATGTTAATATTTGTGTTCTCTACTTTCTGTTAAATGACAGTTTTCTTCTAGAGAACATTCATTTTCATGAGAAAAGGAATCAAAATTAGTAGGTGATCATTATAAATCAAGACCAATTACACTCTATGATAAAAAAATAAATAGAATTTCAAATTGTACAAGTCATTTAATTAGGATGGAGGTATAAAGTTGTTTCTTGAATATTAATGATGCTTTAGTGGTATTTCAAAATTAGCAAGAGCTTGTATAAGAAAAATTCATAATGCCTAGAGATTAATCAAGGTAATTTGTACCTTTTCATTTCTAGGATAATCCTTAAAAATAAACAAAAATAATCTAAAAATTGATCAATCACCCATTTTTTGTTTTGTTTTTTAAAAAATTTATTTATTTATGCTTACAGAATTGGGGTACAGGCCAGAGAGGTGTGGTAGGTGAGAGGATTCACCAGAGACAGAGTGAGGGAGCAGGACAGGCAGATGTACTGGAATACACTACTGAGTGGAGCAGTGGGAGAGGCAGGAGAGGTCTGCCACACCATGGGGGTCAGCTCCCTGGCAGGAGATTGAACTCACACTGCAGTGGCTTTGGAGAGCCTCATAATGTGGTGCTTTAACCCGTTGCAATCACCCTATTTTGAAAGACCTCTGACACATCAAAATAAGCCTGTAAGCTTTTTGTTCCACACATGGTACATTCCTTACATTGTTTGGAATACCAACTTGTGTGTGATCTCATAATTTTCGTAATATTATTCATTTTTGGGAATGTAACACAAACATGTTACTATTAATACTTAAAGAGAGATTGGATAATGGGGGAGCCCTTCTAAATACATATACTTGAAAAATTACACATTTTGTCCACATTTTGTAGGTGAGATAAAAGTAGACACAAAGGTTTCTCTGGGAGGAAGGGGTAAAGGAGACACACATACTCTTTCCACCTTCTCCACAGCTCTGACCCTCTAAAACAGCTTCTCTAAGTCTACTTTCCATCACATTACACAGAAGCTTCTGGTCCTCACTTTAGTGGAATTCCCCACACTACTTACTATCATGAAATACCCAACATGAACTTCCTTTATGAAAGGGAACACTAAGTTATGTTTACTGGCGTTCTGAAAAACTAAAACTACATAAATCATACTTTGTGATTCTAAATTCATTAGCTGCTCTGCAGCCTTAGAAAAAGAAGAAGAAGAAAAAAACCTTGAAGATGTTATGCTGAGTGAAGTGAGACAGAAAAAGACAAACACTGTATTATCTCACTTATGTGTGGAATCCTAAAAACTCATAGAAACTGCAGACTGGTAGTGTCCAGGAGGAGAGGCGGGGAGGGGAGGGGTACAGGGATCAAAGATTACATGCTTCCAGCTAAAAGATGAATAACTTCTGGGGATAAATAACTGGTAAGTGATTAAAAATACTGTTTTGTATATATTTGAAAGGTGTTAAAAGTAGAACTAAAAAGTTCTCACCACACACACAAAAACATACTGTGAGGTGTTGAATGGGTTAACTAATCTCATTGTGGTAACCATTTCATAGTATATGTCAAATCATGATATAACATGGTATATCATGTATAACATAACATGTCATCAGCACATATATATATGTATATGTGTATATATATATATCTTATACTTACACAATATTGTATGTTAATTCTATCTCAATAAAGCTGAAAGAGAAAAGTTAAAGAAGAGCAGTTTTCTTTTAACATCAAAAGGGTCCCAAAAGCACATTAGCTCCGAAGTTTAAAAAGGTTAGGAATAAGCGTATAATCACAAAGAAGAAATTAATTGCAGAGAGAAGAAATAGCAAAAATACACACAAAAGAGACTAAATCATTTGCGAAGTTTGAGGAAAAATCAGGACAACTTAAAATCTCAAAACTAGGAACACTTTTATTGTAAACTTTGGGAAACTTGGTATTATTCCCTTTGTTTGCTATATTGTCCTGTGTGTTTGCCCTGCTATTATTAACATTTAATCAAAATAAAACTAAACTCACCTTGTAGCCTCAAAAGACTAGTCAAGTGAGTTACTTTAGTCTCAGAGACTTTCAGGACTGAAACTCTGGGAGGAAATATTTCTCAGAATGAATTCCATTCCACTGAAGGCAAGGCAAATGAGACATCTTAACCTATTAGGACTAAGTGGTAGCAGTGTGATGAGAAGCACGACTGTGTGCTTCCAGAAAAGAAGGGGGGAAAAACTGAAAGGAGAACTAGCTTAAAACTAGGAAAAGGATAGTTTGCCACCTGCTTCTGTGTACATTATCTTTAATTTATCAATAGAAAAGAAGTTACTCTTACCATTTCCATCTTATAGGTGAGAAAATGAAGATGCAGGAAGATAAAAGAATTTGCTAAAATTCACAGGTAAGTAATGAAATAGGTATTTGAAGTTGAATTCCAGAGTATTCTCTAAGCCATTATTCCATATTGCCTGAAGAATCAAGTTAGTGACTCATAAGGAGATAAAGAAATCTTATCAAGAGTGAATAGACAGACAAGTGAAATGAATATTTGACAGCTGAACTAAGGAAGGAATAATAATAAGAATAATAATAACCCAAACAATTACTAAAGATATTAGTCCAACTAATTTTTTCTGAAAAATATGGGTTGAGTAGTGATGAATCTCAAGTTGTTATTCCTGGAAATATGTGACTAATTTTAAAACTTAAAAAATCAGTGTCTCAAAAGAAAGGTTCTGCAGTCTAAAAACAAATTTTATATATATCTTGACAGCACTAAAAAGAACTTAAAGTGCAATAGTGCTTAATCTAACACAAAATAAAATTTAAAACTTCCTGTCTTTTCACATACATATTAATGGTAGGCAAGTCATAATGAACAAACATAGGCATATGCATGCACACACAATGTGCATACATGGAGTGCACATGCATAGAGGCCACCTGAACGCCTATGAGCCCCCACACACCCACAGACCTACAAGACTGCATCAGCACACACACACACACACAAATCCACTAACCCAGAAACAAGAGACAAACCCACACACAGATTTGTCTTCAGGATGTAGTTATTTTTCTATTTCTGACCAATGCTGCTAAAAGTCATACTATGTTAATGTGCAACTGCAAATTATTATCAAGTCACTATGTATAT